GGAGGTTGTGTCCGTGGATCCAGCGCTTCTCCGGCTGGGAAAGGCTCCCGGAGCCAACGCCAGGAGCTGCTTTTTTGGGTTTATTATCAGATTTTGGTGGTTTTGCCTTTTTTTTTGTTTTTTTTTTTCTCTTCCATGTATTTCTAGCCAGCTCCCTGGAGCTGGGCCGGGCCAGCAGCGACTCTGCTGCCCTCCCGACATAGAAATAAGGCTAAATCACCGCAATTCAGCCAAAAGAAAGAAAAACCAAAGGAATATATATATATTTTTTTATATATATATATATATATCTCATCCTCTTCAAAAATAAAAGGAGAGGTCCCGCGGCCGGACGCCGGTGAGTCCCGCGGAGCCGGGAGCGTTTTTTTTTTTCCCCCCAAATCCATTGTCGCCGTTGTGGTTTCTGGATTTTCTCCGTGGCAAAGAACGCAGGATCAGGAGGATGGGTGGATACAGCAGGAATTCACCGGAAAGAGCTGCCTGAGGGTACAAAATACAGTACGGACACGTCGGCCACCGAGGAAGGACTATTGCTCCCGTGTGAGTGAGGGATCCGTGTCCTTTGCGACGGAGAAGGCTTTAAAAACGGGATAAATGGAAGAAACTCGCTTTAAAAATCCCTTTAAAAAGAGCAACGGCGGCGGGAGCAGCGGGACAGGGCCGGAGCCGGACGGACGGATGGACCCCCAGGGGTCTGCGGCTGTTCCTCACTTCCCAATAAATACGGAGAGAGGGAGACGCCGGATCCATGGTAATAAATTAAGGAGGCAGCTGAGCGGGCTCCCAAAAATGGATCAAAAGCAAAAAAAAAAAAAAAAAAGTCCTAAAAGTGGCGAAACCGTTGGAGGAGAAGAAGAGGCAAAACTTTGGAATGAGAGCGATGGAGTTCAGAGTTCTGGGAAAACGGGGTGAAAAAGCGGAATTCTGGACAGGGCAGGACTGAGCCGAGGGAGCGAAAAAGAATTTAAAAAAAGACTGTTTGAGAGTGGAAAAATGTGTTTAATAGGAGGTGGCTGGAGGGATCGGGTGGTGCCAGGGCCGGGCCCGGGGGGGCAAAAAAAGACAAAAAGAGGCAAAAAATAACAATAAACCCCCTAAAACCACCCCCAAGGGGCCAGGGCCGGGCGCGGCCACGGGTTTGGGGCCGGAAAATCCAATTTGGGTGAAGCCAAGGGGTGGATTCCGGCGGGTCCCGGTGAATCGGGGCCGGAGGCGCCTTATTTGGAGAGAAGGGGAAGATGTTTCGCCCCGTCGAGCTTTTCCTTGTGCTTTGTGCCGGCGCCTCCCCCTTCCCGGCGGGAAACGGGAGGCGGGGGGGGGGGAAACGGTCCGAAATCGGCAAAACCGAGGAGATCTTCCCTAATTGTCAGGGAGCCGCAGCTCCGCGCCGGCTCGGGGCAGGTTCCAGTTCGGGTGCCCGGAGTTTGCAGTTTGCATCCCAAAAAACCGACAAAAAAAAAAAAAACAAACGTGGAAAGAGGAGAAAAAGGAGGGGAAAAAAAAAGGAGAATGAAGGAAAAATCACAAGCCGAGGGAACGGCCGTTGGTCCAAGGTGCCCCCGCTGCCCCCCCGGCGCCGCCGCTGCCCCCCCGGCTCCGGGGCCCTCGGTGCTGGTTTCAATGGGAGGGCATCGGGAGGGGAGGGGGCTGCGGGTGAGCCCCTGTCTCTCCCCAAAGCAGCGAGTCCTGGGGGTCCCACGGCGGGGGAGGAGCCGCGGGCAGCGGCGCGATCGGGCCGGTTTCTCTCTCCGGTGGCTGCAGGAGGGGGGCTCGGGGGGGTTTCGGAGACCCCCGCGCCCCACCACTGCCGGGGACCCTTCATCCCGTTGCTGGGAGCAGGGGCGTGGAGGGGTTTGGGGACCCCTTCACCCTGTCGCTGGGAGGGGGGGTGGGCTCGGGGACCCCCTTGCCCCATCGCTGTTTTGGGGGAGGAGGCTCGGGGGTTTGGGAACCCCTCTGCCCCGTCACTGGGAGGGGGGATCGGGGGCCCCTTTGCCCCGGGGCTCGGGGGGGGGCGGTAGGGGGCCGGCGTCGGGGGGTCGAGGGCTGGGTGGGGGTCGGCTCAGTCGTCGTCCACGTCGTCGCCGTCAGAGTCGTCGCCGGCTCCGCTGCCGCTGCCGGGCCCGGGGGGGCCGGCGCGCCGGTCGTAGAGCTTGTCCCGCTGGCGCTCCTGGATGTCGCGCATCTCCTCGGCGTAGCGGCAGAAGGCGCCGCCGAACTTGGCCCAGGCCTTGTAGGGGACAGTGATGGCGTTGCGGTAGGACGGCTTCACCTCGCTGACCCGCAGGAACACGCCGTACTTGTTGCAGCCCACGTCGAAGAAGAAGCGCTTGGAGTCCACGGTGATGGACGTGCCCTCGGGCAGCTCCCCGTAGAGCCCCCCGCCGCCCGGGCCGCCGCCGCCGGGGCCGCCCAGCTCGTCCTCCTCGCCGCCGTAGTCATCGATGAGCTTGGCCAGCGCGTCGCGGAACTCGATGAGGCCCTGGGCGGGCAGCGCGATGGTCTGGCCGCTCTGCAGCCCCGGGGGGCCCCCCGCGAACCCCCCCGGGCCGCCGGGGCCGCGGTTCACGGTCTGGCGGATGCGCAGGAAGCGCCCGCGCTGGTTCTCCTTCAGGTCCAGGTAGTACTTGCGGTTCTCCCGCACCAGGAACTCGCTCTTGAGGGCGCGGCGGGGCCCGGCGCCGTCCTCGCCCGGCGGCCCCGCGGCCTGGGCGAGCTGCTCGGGGCTGGACGGGCCCAGCTGCGCGTAGTGCTCGATGAAGTCGCCCAGGTAGTCGCGGAACTCGGCGGCCACGGCCATGGAGAGCGTGAGGCGGCTCTTGGAGCCGCCCGCGCCCACCTCGGCGATCTTGAGGAAGCGGCCCTTGGCGTTCTGCTTCACGTCCAGGTAGAAGCGCTTGTTCTGGATGTCCA